AGTGGAACAAAGGCGTGTGGGGAACAGGGGAGAATTTATTTTGGACCAGAAACTACCAAAATCATTTGGGACACCCAAAATATGGGTCCCTTTGGGTGTGTTGGTCCATTTCTGCTTGAACTTTGGAATTCATTTTTCATGCCCTTTTGAGATTATATAAAATTGCGATTCTAAAGGTCTTCTGTGGTTTTCTTTTCCGGTGCTTACCTGGGGAAAATGGAAGTAGAACTTAGAGAGCAGGATAAATGTTTCGGTTTTACACCATTTTGCAGCTGAATTAAAATTTCTTGTTTGCCTGTTTCTTAAAGCACCTCTTTGAAGCACCTTTAAAATTGTACATTTATCAAGTGCCAGATTTGCAACAGAAATCGGCGATTATGGTTCTCCATTCATTCCTTTGCTCGGATGCTCTAAAATAGTCCCCCCCACACACACACACATTATTCTCATCTTTCCCTGTCACTCATCTGTTTACGCTCTCCAAGTAGGGTGCTCTGGGTCTACCACTGCCTCGTTCGCCTTTCATGTTGCCAGAGAGAGCTAGATGTTCAATGCCTTTATGTCTATCAAATGTCCCAGAAACTGCATTTGTCTTTTCTTAATTGTCGTCATCGGCAAGCGAGCCATGTGGGCTTCTTCAAGTACCACCTCACTTTACTTCTCTTTAGCTTCCAAAAAATTCACGGCAGTTTGCTAAGGACCCGCATAGTTTCACTGTCTTTAGTGATTGTCCAACATGCAGCCGTGTACAAGCGATAATCTCTCATTGTCTTTCAAAACATTTATTTTGGTAGTCATTGAGATGTTTCTATTTTTAAGGATTGGGCTCATTTCATTGAAGCTCTATTTAGCCATGGTCATTTTTCTTTCAATTTCTGTGGAACATTTGGCATCGGGTGTAATTATAATAATATACCCTAGATTCAAACTGTTTTGCACTTGTTTAATCTTTTCCCCTTTGATTATGACATTTCAAATAATATTTACTGGAGGGGGCGGGGTCCCCAAATATTACCACGCATTGTATTTTCTCCAGGTTCAACAATAACACTTTACATAATAAAAGTATAAAAGTGTAGAAAATTTGTGTGAATAAGCCACTCCACCCCTACCCCACCCCCCTAATGACACAGTGCACCCGCCAAGTCTAAAAACACAGCACGCTCAAAACGAAGCATTCTCAAAAGCATGAAGGTATGTAGTGTGTTTGGTAGAGTTGAACTTTTCTCCCATTCATTGACCAACTTGCTTTCTATGCCGTTAATTCTAGTCGCTATTTATTTGGCCTGATTACTCCCAGGCAAAATATATGTACATTTTTTAACTAGTCCAAAAGGGATCGGATATTGCGTAACTGTCTATTATTTATAGTGCATATCCCCTACTCGATAGCAAACTCTATGCGCTTTACATTATATTATTACCCCAAAAGACCGTTCAATATCCCGAAACATTCTCAGCTTCCTTGGAAGCATACAGTGCAAGCAGCTGATGAAGCGTTCAGACTCTTACAATCTGACCAGATGTTTCGATGTCTATAGCCGGTTAACCATTCTCCCCTGGGTCTTCTTCTTCTTCGGTTGGGGCAACCGTGGTGGCACCACTGCATCTGAAAACCAGCTGTCGCCATTTATCTTTGTCCTCTGCTTTTCTCAGATTGTCACTCCTCGTCTTTCCTGTCCCCTCTTTAATGTT